GAGAAATTTGCGGAAAAAGGTAAATAGCTTTTATTGAACTGATTGCACAAAATGAAACGTAATTATTGTCTGAAAGACACGAGAAGGAATTTTTGAAAGTGGGAAGCGTTGGGAAGTAAAAAGGGAAGCATTTCTGAAAATCATATTGGGCCATTTTCTTGCAAAAACCGTTCCTCGTCCTTTGTTCACTTCAAACAACTTGTTTCAGATCTGAAATCTAACTCTTCTTGTAATACAAAAACCTCGATTTTAACATTCAGTTTAGGCCAGGAATTTTAAAAATTAAAAAGATTTATGTGGCAATGATAAATACAAATCCATATCAGATGCCATTGATAGGTAAAAAGTGAAACATGTGAGTGACCCGATATGTTCCACACATTATCCAGCATGTTTTGACGTGAAAAAAAATGAAATTCGAAAACTCAGCTAAGCCGCTCTCGTCCTTTCGTGTGCTTCATCCACAAATTTCAACGATGTTTCATACAACGGAAAAACCATTATATCATCATAAGTCATCATTGATTGTTTTTCTTCTTTCTCCACTCATCATGACAACATTCTGATTCTTTACAAATGTATTGCTCAATCAGCTGGACTAAAGAATAAGAATATTTGGTCTCGTTTACCTTGAATATAATAATTGTTCAAATATTCATGCTTGCTGTTTAAGCAGTGAGTGATTTGTAATTACAGCTACGTGGCCAATTTTTGTCACACATTCTTCATAAAATGTGTGTGTACGCGAGAAATAACATAAATTTGTTAAAAACTTTGTTAAGTAACTCAGATGATTCAGCTAGTCAGTTAGACGTACCAGTGTGGACCATTTCTATGTACAACACTAGTGTATAGTCATTACTATTTTCATGTAAAAAGAGACTATGTCAAACTGATTGAGCAATACTTGTGTAGAGAATAAGAATGTTTTAGAAAGCAAGAAACACATCCCACGATGACTCATAACCATAGAATAACAGAATAATACTTGCACAACGCGTTATGGTAAAAAAGGTATAAATACTAAAATATTTGCTCCTTACATTTCCACTTGCTATTACGAACCTCTATAGATATGACATCGATTCCGTTAAAAAAGTTAACGTTATATAAAAATGATTTGGGTTATTTTGAACGAAGTATCGTGGTGGAAAAAGATGCAGGAAAACTTGTGTTAGAAATACCAAAAGTACAGAAAAGGTTGATTATTGATACATTGTGCGTTAACTATTCAAAACCAGTTACAGTCAACTACGATGTTGAAGAACATGATGAATTTTTAGCAGAAAATCGTAAAGAAGAAATTTACAATTTTGAACAAACATCGAATTTTGCTGAATTTTTAACATCGTGTATTGGTTGTGAAATACAATTAACATCAAATAAACAAAATGTTAATGGTACCATACTCTTAGTAGATAAGAAGAATACAACTGTTACAAATGAACGATTAGATAAAACATTTGAATCAGTAAAACATATTCTTCATGTTCTACAGTCTACTGATCAATGTATATACAACTTTGATTTGGATTTGGTTGAATCAATTAAATTTATCGATCCTTATTTACAAGACCAGTTAACAAAAATGTTAGTCAAAGTATCGAATAATCGAAAACCAAGTTTAAGACAGTCAGATGATGTGAAAGTCCATTTTGATATTGAAAATCCAACAGATGAACCTATTAGTATATCATATATGTTTCCCACAATTGAATGGAAATGTCTTTATCGACTTGAGGTTGATTCAAATAAATCGGCTGCTCAAAAAATACCAACTACAAAAATCAATTTGACATTATTTGGTTTAATTAAGAATTCAACAAATGAAAATTGGACTAACGTGGCACTCAGTTTAGTAGCCAATGAACTAGAAATATTAAAAAATAATAAACAATCGTCCGTTGCTGCTTCAGTTCTATTCAAATCAAGTGGCTATCAAATCTACTTAAAGACGCTAACTGGAAAAACAATCACACTTGACGCATCTCCATCAGACACAATAAGTACTGTGAAGAGAAAAGTTGAAGATAAAGAAGGTATTCCGCCTGATCAACAACGTATGATATTTGCTGGCAAGGGATTAGAAGATCACAGAACGTTAAGTGACTACAATATACAAAAAGGTAAAAACAAAACAAAACAAAACACAAAAATCACAAAAAAAAATATACTTTGAAGGATAACATCGAGTCATTGGACAACTCCAATCATTGTGCAGAATATAGGAAAGAACAGCGAAGTTGAGTTTTGCAGTTCGTCTGCAAAGATCAAATTTCTGTCTTCGATTCTAGCTTCGTGCAAGGATTGATTTTGTGTTTTGATAATGTAAGTTTCAGAACGATATAATGGGAATTTATATTCTCGATTTCGTTCTAGTTCAAGATTAAAACTTAAACCAAAATGTAAAATCTACTGTCTTTTGGAGCGAATCTTTT